CTGGGCGCTGTCCCTCAGCTCTTCAGCTCAAGGCGAGCGCTCTACCACTTGAGCTACAGCGCCACTTCCGGTTTTCTGGTGGTTTATTGGAGATCGGAGTCTCAGGGTCTCTCCTGCCCGGGCTGGCTTTGAACCTCGATCCTCAGATCTCAGCCTCCTGAGTAGCTAGGATTACAGGCGTAAGCCACCAGCGCCTGGCTACCATGAGACTCTTATATCCAGTTAACCACCAGAAAACTGGAAGTGGTGCTGTGGCTCGAGGTGGTAGAGCACTAGCCTTGAGCTGAAGAGTTCAGGGACAGCGCCCATACCCAGAGTTCAAGCCTCATGACCGAAACCTCTTATGCACTTATGTGTGCATTTCTGTCCCAGTATGGAGGACTTATGGAAGGTTTTTATTTTTTTTTCTCTGATGTTACTGGGAAACTCATCCTTATATTTGAGTATCTCATGTATGTGCTCATCTCTCCTTGCCTTTCTCTTCTCTCTGCTCCTGCCCCTTCCCCACCTCTAATTCATTTCTTCTATTATTGTTGATGGTGGTAGAGGCTCGACACTAAATTTTAATTACATAAGCCTATAACTAAGCAATTTGTCAGGAAGAAGAAAATCCAGCAAAATCTACAGTATTTATGTCAGCCAAAGGTCAATGTATCATCAACTAAATATCTTCTTCCAAAACGGGTTTGTGCATGATTCAGTAGCCAGTTCTGTGGAGACTCGAGTATAGATGTAATGTGATTGAATACACAATCCTCACATATCTACTGTATTAACTTAGCCCAGAGGATGAATTGCTCAAAGCTTTCCTCAAACAGCATCACTTGCATTCTCCTTTGCATGATTCCACCTACTCCTTTAGCGTTTATTAATGAAAGACAGAAATCAACTGAGTTTCACTATATTGATGCTCTGAAGTTCACGGGACATTTACACAAACTGTGTGTAGTACTATAGACATGGGATCAATTTATTGTATGCAAAGTTTTATGAATGGTTACTTTATAATTTATGTATTGAATATAGGAATCAATGAACTCTCATGTTTTAGTTTCTATAAAAATAAAATGAGCCGCATTTTTGTAAAACAAACAAACAAAAAAAACCCTTTATCTAGTATTGTTCATAAGTATGACTTTTTCATTTGGAGGGGTGGGTAAGTGAACTTTACCTACTTTTAAAAAAAAATAGCCGGGCACCAGTGGCTCACACTTGTAATTATAGCTACTCAGGAGGCTGAGATCTGAGGATTGTGGTTCAAAGCCAGCCAGGCAGGAAAGTCTGTGAAACTCTTATCTCCAATAAACCACCAGAAAACCAGAAGTGGCTCTGTGGCTCAAGTGGTAGAATACTCGCCTTGAGCTGAAGAGCTGAGGGACAGCTCCCAGGCCCAGAGTTCAAACCCGACAACCAACAACAACAACAACAAAAATAGGATAAGACAAGCAAAGACTAATCAGTATGACACCTATAAGTAAATTCTAAGGCTGGGAATGTGACTTAGTGATACAGTGCTTGCCTAGCATGCATGAAGCCTTGGGTTCAATTCCTCAGTACCACATAAACAGGAAAAAAGTGGCTCTGTGGCTCCAGTGGTGGAATGCTTGCCTTGAGCACAGAGAGGCTCAAGGACAGTGCCCAGGCCAAGGTCAACCCCCAGGACCAGGAAGGAAAAAAGAAAAGAAAGAAAGAAAGAAGAAAGAAAGAAAGAAAGAAAGAAAGAAAAACAAAGAAAGCCTTTGTTATATTACCTACCTCTACACCCAGAAATGAATGCTTTAACCTTATAATGCTTACAATGTAGCATGGGAAAATTTGACAGGCTTGTAGAGCTGGTACATATTGAGGCTTCATGTCAAAATCATGCTCCAGATTTGCTTTCAAATAACCAGTTCAAATAACCAGTATGCTGTCCTATTTTTCCTCACTTAGGTAAATCTTATGGATACAGACTCATCTTCCCAAATTAGATAAATACTACCCCCTTTATTATTCTCCCAAAGCATTGTCTGTGGACCTATTTTTACTTGACAGTGCATATTAGTTACTTGTTCTGTGCATCTTCACTTCCTTTCTTATGATTTCACTTGTCTGAGGCCAGAGAACATGTCTTTTAATAGCTTTCAATCCTAAAGCATCTCAGACAATTCCTTGTAATTATAAGTACACTGAAAAGAATCTTACTAAATTGTTCTAATTCAGCCACTTTGTGTATTGTACTCTGCAGGGAGGAATCATGTTGTATGAGTGACCAGGAAGACTCTACCAAGGTAGAATTAGCTAAACCAACATTTTATCGGAAAAGTATTTTGCTGTTTCTGGTGTTTTATTTGTTGCTTTATTACTTTTCTCCTTCCATTTTCCTTTCCTTTCCATATGAGTTTTGTTTTTCTATAAGCCAAAAACATTTCAAAAAGCATAAACAAACTACCAAATTCTCTCTTCCCCAAATCCTCCCAGTTAATTCTGAATTCATTTGTATTCTGCTCTCTGACCACAGGAGGGCGGATTAGTCCAAAATTCCAGTAAAAAAGTATGAGCTCCAGAGAAATCTGAAAGGGGGAATCTTAAGAGATACTTTGTCTCCTTGGGTTTGCATTTCTGTTCCCCACTCTTTAAAAAAGCAATAGCCTAATTACAAGCATTGCTTTATCCACTCTCATTTCTGGCAGGATAGGTTTTGTGGTTTCAGGGAGGCTACGCTGTTGTCTTCACTCAGGCAGCAAATTCATTTGCAAACACAAAGGCCCCCTGGGAAACTTAGCGACCAATTACACAGTCTCCAAATATGCCAGACTGGCTCAGACTCAGACAAAAGAGGTCAAGGGAGTTCACCAGATTCACTCCCTAATTCTCCACCTCTGAAGCAAGTTCCCCCCAGGGAACAGACAGGGAGGGCATGTTATTGTGTCTACAGATCCTCTTACTATGCGGATACCTCTGATAGTTTTAAAAAATAACAGTACTGTTCTAAATATCTTTGCCAAGATATATTATGTTTCCTGAAAGATTTTTAAGTGGGAAAAAATGGTGCTTAAAAAGTATTTACCTCCCAAGAAGCTCAAGAATGAAAAATAAAGAGCAGTTGTTTCTTGCTGTTGTTATAAAACATTAGCTCTATAAGTTTTTATTCCATTAGCCCAATATTCCAAATGATAAACTTAATTTTATGTACTGTGGACCCAACAAGGCCTCTGGGATTTTGGGTGCTGGCATTTACCCAGTTACATTGCAGCTGCTATTGGAGGGAACAACTCAAAATGAGCCAGGTATTTTATTTAAATACAAATACAAAAACTGAAGCCTACTTAGGCTGCCCTTTTCTCTTTCTGACTTGCTTTTCTTTCTACTGGGTAATAAGATCTAATGTACATATAGAAGTCAGGCAGACTGGATTGTACTCTTCTGTCAGCCACTAAGTTCTTCTCTCTCTGAAAGAGGAACTTAACCCTCTAAATTTCCC